TGAAGAGGATGATGCTGCTCTCCCATATCCAAGCCATTCTTCAATCTCTGTCGCGGTATGTTCACATACATTGTATATTTGAGCTTTTGCTTATTTTAATTCTCACAATCCCTGAATTTCCTATATACTACAAAAATACTAACGTTTCACGATGAGGCAGTTCCGAAATGCTTAAGTGTCGTGTGGGCTAACACACATGTAAAATGGTGAACATTTTTGGCCTTGTGTATTATCATATCGGAATCTACTTAAGTACTTTATTTTACCCTTTTCAGGGGTGAAGTTACAAATGCTATAATGTTTGTTATAGGTTCTCTCCGACAAAAATCCCAAGTTCAGAAGTCAACCTGACGTCGGAATTACTTTCAATAACAACAAGGATTACGTTGTCTTCAAGACGCACTCTGTTGCTGTTGAGTTTCTGGTATGTTTCTCCATTCATTTCAAAGATTTGCTTGTATTTGATTTTATATAGGTTGATACTCTAAAGTATTTTTTGTTAGAACAGAGGAGTAGCTTGCTGATAATTATACTTTTGAAACGAATACTCTACTTCTTATCACTAGTCGAAACTTGCACTGTTAGAACTTCTATCTGTTTTGATCATCATCTTCTTTAACATGGGGTATGAAGTCGCTTACTGGATAAAGTACAACTCATGCGAAACATATGCGAAAAGCGGAAATCCGTTAAGTCTTGTGAATATTTATAAAGTGGATATCATTCAGCGGAATGACATCAGTCAAACTTGTTAATAGGTGTCTTTGGAGCATCAAAGAATCACTCAACTGAAAGAAATGTAGAATAGATGTAGAATGGAGAAATATAGTTTTGCAGAGAGGCTATACTCAAATGAAATTTTTGCAAAACATTAGTTTAATTCTTTTTGGATGAATATCAGAAGTCGTTTCATTGCATTAGTAAAGGCTATGAAGCTTGAACGTCTAAATGCCAAATATCAGTTTTTGCATCAAAAAAAAATCCTTCAGAAGACCTACGTCTTAGTCCTTCTATAATCTTGGTTACTAGCAGATATTTGAGAAACTCAGCGCTTGTAGAGTCCAGTCGCTATGTTTTCTGCTTAATTTTCTGGCTTTAGGCATTTTATGTCGAGATCTTTTCTGAAGAGGGAAAAAGAATTGGTGCGTGCTATGCTTTACCGTCGTCACTGTCCGATTCATGTGGTCTCTCACAACTGCCATTCATCAACTCATCAGGAAGACCTATTGGACAAATCACTGGTTGGTGAAGT